TAGATATACATATATACAATCAGAAATTCTGAGCAATTAAAAGGAAGTACTAACCCAAAACACTTTTATCTTTTCACTACAGCAATTCGGAGACACTCTTCCACTTGTTGAAGGGTTCTTTGGGGACCGGCATACTTGCTATGCCAAATGCCTTCCGTAATGCCGGCTATGTAACTGGCACCATAGGTACCGTTATCATTGGTTTCATCTGCACATATTGCATACATCAGCTAGTGAAAGCCGAATATGAGCTATGTCGGCGGAAAAAGGTACGTAACTATTTGAAATACCGTTATGAGAATATTATCATAAATATGTTATATTTTACTTGCCAGGTACCAAGCATGAATTATCCCACTGTGGCGGAGAATGCTTTGCTAGAAGGACCGCCATTCTTTCGCAAATTTGCACCCTACATAGGGCATGTGGTAAACACCTTCCTGCTGATCTATCAATTGGGTTGTTGCTGTGTCTATGTCGTTTTCGTAGCCTCAAATATTAAATCCATAGCCGATTTTTATTTAGATGAACCCGTCGATGTGCGCCTGTGCATGGTGATTATACTGTTACCACTGATCTTCATCAATTGGGTGAGTGTGCAGCAAAGACTCAATATAAAGTCAAGTAGTTTTCACTTTCGTTATTAATTCACAGGTTCGCAATCTGAAATACCTGGCGCCATTCTCCACAATTGCCAATGGCATCACAATGGTTTCGTTCGGCATTATCTGCTACTATATCTTCCGGGAACCCTTCACCACCGAGGACAAGGTAGCCGTGGCGCCTTTTTCCGGCTTTCCTCTTTTCTTTGGCACTGTGCTCTTTGCCCTAGAAGCTATCGGCATAATACTGCCATTGGAGAATGAAATGAAGACACCGAAGAAGTTCGGTGGCAGCTGTGGTGTACTCAACGTCGCGATGGTACTCATTGTATTCCTGTACTCTGGCATGGGTCTGTTTGGCTATCTGAATTATGGTGGTGAAGTTGAGGGTTCCATCACATTGAATTTGCCTTCGAAGGACATGTAAGTGTGATGGAAATATTTGTGGAATGTCTTATAAATTGTTTGTAACGTTAACAGTTTGGCTCAGTGTGTGAAGGGCATGCTGGCCTTTGCGATATATATTACGCATGGCTTGGCGTGCTATGTAGCCATAGATATTACGTGGAGCGATTATGTGGTGGAGAAATTGAGTCCGCAGCGAAGCAAACTTTTCTGGGAATACGTGGTGCGCACTTCTATGGTGCTGGTGACATGTAAGTTACAACAAGGTCAATTATTTATGATACCCAAAACTTTCAGATTCATTTTAGTTCGTCTTAGACATCTTAATTATTTTATTTCATGATTAAAATTTTAGCCATTTTCGAAGTAATTTTCGAATTCCGACTGTAGCAGCTAAAAAACTATCACAAAACTCTAATCAAAGTTAGGTTACATAGAACCAAACAAAAATTGAAGGAATTCGTGCGTAACTGTACATGAAACTCTTCCTTTTCCGGGCTTGACCCCAGGACACTCAGCTCTTACATGTGCACTCAAGCTTACTTACTTCCTAAGGTCAAACTATGAACCAAATTGTAGTTGTTGTAACTAATAGCTAAAGCCCATGAAAGATTTATTAACTAGAATCGAAGAAAACTGGCTGTTTCGACGGGGTGGAAACATAGAAAAAAGGGGTGTTAGATGAGTGGAACATGCGAAGAGGTGGTCATATGTTAGGTATATCAGGGTCTATTCTGGATGTTAATTCCGGTAACGTATAACTGATTATAGAGAGAATTATCATAAAACACGTCAAAAATGCTCGTTTTCTGAGCTACCAGTTTGTAACTTTGATGACAATTAATGACAATTAACCTTTCTTCTAAACAGGTTTTAAAAACCGTTACAACAATAAAGAATGTTAATGCCCAAAAATACAAAATTTCAGTCGTATAACCTGTCGATGTAATTTTTTGTGTGATTACTATTTTTAAATTTTTTTTCACCATTTTCACTAATTTATTTTTTTAATTTTATGCACGTAACTAAAACATTTTCTTTCTATAGTCTTCCTAGCCGTGGCCATACCTAATTTGGAACTTTTCATTTCGCTCTTCGGTGCGCTCTGCCTTTCGGCGCTCGGCTTGGCTTTCCCGGCATTAATTCAGATCTGTACACATTGGTATCAGAGAAAAGGTGTTGCTAAAGTTTGGCTACTAGCCAGCAATTTTGTGCTTATCATAGTCGGCATACTCGGTCTGATCATCGGCACATCTACATCGCTATCGGAAATCATCGCCACATTCTCCAAATGAGCAGTGCCACTGCTACACTAATATTATTACATAAACATTCTAAATGAATTCGTGATATTTTAAGTTACTACTCTAACAATAAATAATAAAAAATAATAATTTATTGCAAAGACAAGTATTATTTAACAAAATTACATATTAATACATACATATATTTGGCTTTATTTAATATTAAATAAAATCCCCTAATAGTAATGTATTTAGCCAATATACGAAATTAAGTTTTTGAAATTTAAATGGCGTCTTTTCGAACCAGTCGCTAGAATATGATTTACTGCTCTTGTTATTTTTCATTGTAACCCTTAGCAAATATGCATATATTTTAAGCAAAATTGTTGCCATTTTTTATGAGAATAGCGTGTAAATAATTTTAAATATTTTTATATACATTTGTAAGTAGGTAACTTGCAAAATATAATGTAATACTTTAGTAGTACCGAAAATATTTCAAACCACCATATTTCCAATGAGCGTGCCTTCGACAATCGTAATCATTATTTCATTATATAGAAAGTATTCTAGTTATACGTATATACATATGTATATGTATTTATATATACGAGTAATTTGAATGTACAAACTAAAGTAAAAAGAAATCAAATTATAATTCAATACATACAAAAAATCATATTTATTAATTTTTTGTTTTGAATAGGAGAAATATAGATTTTGTAATACAATTAGTCAACTGAGAGCATAACGACCACAACATGTCTTTATTCACAGAAAATAAGAACAATTTGATAGCAAGTTCTGACCCGATCAAAAAGGATATAAATACTTACTTAAGTTCATATTAGACAGATTCCAATTCCGAACTCACTATTAATTGACGAGTTGTGGAAAGGTTTTAGTCCTGTGCTGTTATGTCGGTGTTACCACTTTGAATTTTCTAAATGACGTAAGTACTCCTTTATATGACATTATCACTGATATTCTCAACCCAATTTAGAGTGCACAAAATTTTCATTCATGTTGGCCCTGAAAAATTGCCCACAAAGGAGCCACCGTTATCTGAAAACTATTTATTTGATTTGGCCGGAAATCGGTCAGGAACAACCTGTGGAGTGATAACGTATAACTTTAACAACAACAACACGATGAAAAAGCTTTTCCGCAAAAAAATGCCACATAAATTCACTACACTTTGAAATTAGCCACTATAGGATTTATGAAACGAAATTTAATTCACTTCGATATTTAATTTGGCGGAAACTGTCAATGTTTGGCAAGTGCGAGCTTTGTTTCATAAGATACAATTACAGCTGTGTTTCATAGATACCACACAAATGCTTCAAATTAGACACTGATATCGTTACCAACTAATACCGTGTTGAAGCCTAAGTACTAGTCCGTTTCAATTAAAAAAGAACCAATAAAAAGCACTCACACGTTGGAAACTCGCTTGAAGTCTCGTCTAATAGTGCAAATTTTAATTCATTAACCACAATTGAAAGTTATCGGCATTTCATGGCATAGTGGCAACCCTTGGAACAATTATTTTTATTACATTGAAATCTAAACGCTAGCGTGTTTTTGCTAATTTGCACAATTAGAAAATATAAATAATTCATCAATACAAAAATAAAATAAAACTTATTATATGAAATGGAATTTTTGCGAACAGACGCTATTTTTATGGAAATCCTGCAAGAACGCAAAACCATTACCGGTTTCTTAGATGCAGTGTTTGGATTCCTACGAAGAAAGTTTGTGTTTTTTATTTTCCTATTAAAAGAGTTTGTTTAACAGTTGATTTTCATTTAGTACCGACTTTTATCACGTTAAAGGGCATCCGAGTGAAAATGTTGGCTTTGCTAAAGGCGTGCGCGAACAGATTCTATTCGGAGCAATGCAACGTTACGATCCTGATTGCAAGTTGAATAATCTAGCTGCCGATAGCAACGAAAACGATGCTCTATATGCGCCTCCGGCTATAGAAGAAGTTGAAATAGAGACTGAGGAAATAGATATGGAACAGAAAGCTGTAACAAAACCTTTAGAAACAACAAAAAGTGCTGAAATAATTACACCAAAAAATAATACTAGAAAAGTTGATTTCGCTGCCAATGACTACAAAAATGGTGCATGCTTCGCTGAATACTGTTGGTCGCAAACATTAACCGAAGTGGAATTACATGTTAAATTACCCGCTGATTTGCAATCTGCCAAAGCAATTTGTATAGATATTAAACCCGATGGAATTTCGGTACACAGTCGAAAAGCCCCAAAAAATATTGTCATCAATGGGAAAATTAGTACTCGATACAAACACAACGACGCAGTGTGGACAATTACGGAAGGAAAGCTAACAATAAACATGGGTAATTATTCTAAAAATTGTGTATACACATTTTAAGCAATTAATATTAAATTTTTTAATAAATCCACGATTGCAGATAAAGGTAAAGAAATGTGGTGGGAAAGATTTTTCACTACAGAAGATCCCATTGATACGAAAAAAATAGATTGTGAGCGATATATTGATGAACTGCCAGAAGATTCTCAGGCGGCTATACAAAAACTTCGTGTGCAACAAATGGAGCAAGACATTGTAAATAATGGGCAAGCGATAAATGATAGTGAAAAAAATACTATGGAACGTTTACGAATAGCATGGGATGCAGAAGGCTCACCATTCAAAGGTCAACCATTTGATCCTTCTGTCGTTAAATTTAGCTAATAATGACAATTGAACTCATTTTGTATTAGTAAAAAATATTTATTAATTTCTAGAAAAGAGTAAGATATAAATTATTGTTAATGAAATGATGTGAATAAATCTTTGAATTTATATTCAGAAATGCTTTGAACTTTTTATAACTGATTACTGATTTCTAAGTTCTTGCACTTTACGTTGAAGTTGGTTACGTTGGTAAGCTACATCACTGCGATCTGTTGACCAAGCAATATACATATATGATGTCATTAATGAAGCCAGCAAAAATCTATCAATTGTCATAAGATTTGTAACCCAAAAGATCGCACTTAAACCGACAAAAGATGGGTGACGTACATGAGTATAGAGATGGCGCAACCTAAACGATTTATAAGCCATTGGCTGGGCGTAATCCTTCATATCATAATAAGCCTGGAAAGCAAAACATAAATTTGAGTAAACATAGTAGGAATAGATAAATGTGGAATTGAAATATTACCTGTTTCACTCCCAATATTTCAGGTAAATCCATAATTAGACTACCTCCATAGATTATCATCCAAGCAAATGCATGCACGAGTGCGAACGTCCACCATAAAACATTACTAGAAGTCACATCCACCTGCCAAAGCACTATTGACTGTGCTGGTAGCCAATTTCGTATGAGATACTGTATTACAAGAGTATAAACAAATTCATCTTAGCAACCAACAACAAAAATTAGCACTTAGCATTTGTATACATGTAAACTTAACGATGACGTAAGGCAATATATTGAACGTTCTGCTGCTGCCAATCCCAACTTTTCCATTAGCCCTTTAACAAGTGCGGATTTCATACAGCTGTGTTGTAATATAAATCCAATAATGTATAGAGTATCATACACGATTGGACCAAAACTTGTCTCCAAACGGGACTTATTGTCCAACAAATTAAACACCCACACATATATTTTGGGTACATTTCGCGGACGCGACATGAATAACATAAATGTTCCCAGCACATAAAATGTATACACAAAAACGCTTAGTGATAGTAGAAAGACCAGTATTTGTTTTAAAGATACCATGATCTAGGATTTATTTAAATTATTTTTATTAAGAAATGCAGCAAGTACGAACTTTCCAACCACCTCAAAAAATGTAAACAATGTCAAGAAATACTATAGATATTTTGAAATAGGGCTGCCAGGAGTCGCGAAAAGAAATCCACTATTGTTATCGAAACAAGTTTGAAGAAAATCGATTATTGTCTCACAGCGTAGAGTTTTTCTACAGGAACGGTTGATTTTGCGAAATTTTTACCTTTAAAAATATAGGAGTTTTGGAAACTCTGTTTATTGGCGGAAATTAATTTCGAAGGGTAGGAAGCCCTGTTTATTGGCGGAAATGAATTTCGAAGTGTAGTCAAATTAAAAACTGATCAGGACTCACAGCGTGCTAATTGGCAAATATTAAATGACGCCTAGGTGAGATCTAACCAATTCTAGCAACCCAAAACCGGCTGCCCTATGATCTCTACAAGTCGTTCATAACAGGACGAAGTAATATTTAAAAGGCTCATTTATAACGATATGTATGTATGTATGCACTCCAAATTGTTTCGATCATTAAAGTAACGACTTTTTATAGCTGCTACACCCCAAATGATTTGAAGTAAAAACAAAACAAAAAACCTAAAAAGAAAAATAACTTAATGCCAAATTCATTACAAATATTTTATCTGTGCTTATATTTATAATTAAACTAAAAACGCTGGAATTTACATAATCAAATCTCCGTTTTATATAAACAACAAAAAAATGGCCGAAGTCGATGAACTAAATAAGGAATTCGAATGTGCAATGAAACAGTTTGAAAGAGCTCATCAGCATTTGAATTACCGCGAGAAATCCATTGCTACCGAATGGTTAAAAAAATTGAAGAAAGCCAATAGCTCGATAGAAGATTTGAAACTACGTTTGGACTTCATCGATTACTTCATCAATTGCTCCAAGTGCAGCATTTTCAGTACAGAACCATTCAATAAAGTGCCGCATCCAAATGCTCCTTTGCAGAAGTTGCGTAATATGCTGGTAATTATATCATGTTTCAAACTTAATAAATGTACTACGAGCTTTGTAGCACCCATAAAGAAACATCGGTGGATGTATATTTGCATATGTATATACCATGTATATATAACTGATCAGCTTGACGAGCTAAGTCAATTTAGCTATGTCCGTCTGTCGCAAACTAGTCCGTCAATTTTAAGATATTTCAAACTGAAATTTTGCACACTGATGATAATGGTTTTTCGTGCTTTTAAATCAGATGGTTCAAGCTAAAACTGTTTTCGGAAAGTTCGATAATTAAAGACAATTACATATATTCTCGCCTGCATCTCGGGTGCCATACACATATGTCCGTCGGCAGCACTCGAAATCTTACTGGAACCCACCCCGCTACACTTAGTATTCGGTCAAATCGTCAAACGCAATCTGCACCAAATGACAGCAGAATGGGAAGAACTCATGAAGGACGCCTAAGTGGCGAAATACCACTGTCTCTTCTCCCTAAGCATAGCATTATCAAAAAGGTTAACTTCACTAGGAAGTTTAAGGTTACTCGAACCGAACGATTCCGTTCTGAAACTCCTGTTTACTTACTGTCAGTACAATGAAGTGGTACACCGACGGCTCGAAAACGTCGGAGGGAATTGACGCAGGGTTCGCAGAACCACGCACAAAACTCTGTACCTTTAGGTAATTTTCCCGCAGAGGCCTTTGCTATAAGTCGGTGTGTAGAGTTAAACTTCCCACGCAACTGTCGCAATGAACGTATACCTATACTAAGCGATAGTCAAACCGCACTCAATGCGAATCAATCAAATCTCTATTGGTGCAGGAGTGTACAGAACGATTGAATAGTTTAACAGAACGTAACCAAGTGCACATTATTTGGGTGCCAGGTCACAAAGATATAGCCGTGAAAGAAATGGTTTATGAGCTTGTTAGGTCCGCAGCATCCACCAACATGACAGAAACGGTACCTTTCATTGCGCTTGGTCCCCATACCAGAAAAGAGCTGCTACGCAATGATAAAGCAGTGGGTGGGGAGAAGCATTGGTTACAACTTCTAGGCAAGTTGATAATGGGTGGTTACAACCCATATTTAAATATGTAATCAATCTAACAAGGGAAAGCTCAGCTAGCTTGCTGTCTTCTTCACTGGTCAGTGTAAGCTCGAGAAGTAAATAAGTAACAAAGTCTTAGTTCTAGTGCGAATTGCAGGTTCTGCGACTTGAAGTCTGAAATACCAGAGCGTTTGCAGACGAAGGATTAGGGCCCTTGAATCCATGTTTCCAAATAGGGATTACATCGCCTCAATAGCACCTAGCAGTATATTGGAATTTATCAATTTGCTGGAGCTAGTTGAGACGTTGTGACTTAGGAGACTTAGAATAGACCTAGTTCGCGGTGCATCCTCATTGACTTATCTAATCTAGCATACAATTTTCCATTCATACATGCCTATATTATACTCGCCAGCCAATCAGTCATAAAATTCGTAGTGTTGACGCAACTTCCGATGAACAGCGTAAACTTTATGTTGAGGAAATGTTCGATAATATGGCGGATAGAGGTGCCTTTCTCTCCGATCAGCCAGTGCCATTGGACGGTACATTTTTCTTGGTGATTATAAATCAAAAATAAATATTCCAAATTATATATGTTTTATTTTTTATTTATTTACAAATTTATTCCTGACTAAAATATATTGCATATGTATGTAAAATTTATAGTTGTAACATATAATGTATACATTTTATGATTATAAAATCTCTGTTGAACATTTAAAAGAAATATAACTGACTATAGATTGCATTGTTGAAATTATTATAATTCCGTTTACTCTCTTCGTCTTAATTTAATTTAATATTATTTAATTAATAATCTTAATATTATTTAATTTAATAATCTTATTTTATCTAATAAAATGCTTACAACCATCGAAGTCTCTAAGACGTACATATTTATACACGTTTTTACTTATGCCTAACAAAGTCTATATTTACAATTTAATAAAGTTTAATTTGTCAATACAATAAATATACAATTTGGATGCAATTAATAATAAATGCCTTTCAAGTTTTTTAAGCGCAAAGCAAATCAAATGTGAGTAAAATCTTATAAATAAGCTGTTTTAGCAAAAACAAAGGGATCTTTAATTGAGCATTAAACTCGTAAGTGTCTTGAGCTGAACACGATATTAATTATATTAATTAAATATATCAACGATATCTCAATCAAGCATTGTACCTGACGAGATGTTTAGAAACTAAAATATTTCACAAATTTTGTTT